CTAACTAATCTCGAACTCAAACCTCAACAAGGTAAATAGGAGATAGTCGTAAAATACAGGAGTCTTCGGTAAAAAACAGGAGACTGGGCAGGTATGGAAAAGCTGCTGCACTTTCACAAAATCATGTAAAGTGATGTGCAGTTTCTTTTCCAAAAAAAATTTAGCTTTATAAATGATTTGTTAAACTGATTTCTATTAACTAGGATTCATTTGGAAACGAAAAAAAATTTAAGAAAATTAGTTTCTTTTAGCTTACTTGACACTCGATTAAAAGAAGTTCTTCCAAATCAAATATTTTGACCTTTTGCATTTCGTTTACTTCACTCAATTGCTTAGATATCTTCTTTTCCTCGTTTAATGACTGTGAAATTTCATCCAACCTTTCTTTTATAATCTTTTTCTCGCTTACTACCTACAGAAGTTAAATACACCATCAGAAAATTATTTATCACATTGCCGTTCGAATATTACGTAAGCATGTTTATGAAAATCATAAACTCTCCCATTTCATTTGTCAGCATAAATAAACAAATTACAAATCTCTTCCGTGCTTCCGTAAGAGAGCTGCTGCCCTCTCTCTCTGATTTTTACACTTCCGCTTAAGTTACCTTATTTAAAAAAAAATCGTATTAAATTCATATAAAAAAGTAATTTTGCATTAAAACAAAAAATTTATGTTTTTATTAATTCTACAAAAATTTGAAGAAGCTTCTTTCTCAACTCATTTATACCCCAAATTAACTGCAATTTCAAATATGAAATGTCAATTTTTTTTCCATAGATATTTCTTTACATTTAAAAGAATTGAAAATGAGAGAATTTTAGTACTAAGTGCTGTTCCTTCCTCTTTGAAAGCAAAAACAAGCGAATTCCTAATCCTTATCTTAAGAGAGCTCTACCCTCACAATTTCAATTCTAGTTTAAATTTTTAATTCGTGTTTTCTTGATATTTATTTGTACTAAGCTTTTAATGGCACTGTAGGGTTGCACAATACCTCTTAAAAAAGATAGCCATTAATAGGATCGCTTTATTAGATTCGGGGAAATAGCACTTGATAATTTTAGGAGAATGATTCAATGAATTCCTATAAATTTTTTCTTTAAACTATAAAGCACTAAAATGGTGCGATTTGTGGTTTTGAGAATGTAATTTAAAACTACACGTTTCTCAGTTTTTGCTGTTGTTGTTGTTAATTTACGTCACACTAGAGCTGCACAATGGGCTATTGGCGACGGTCTGGGAAACATCCCGAAGGATGATCCGAAGACATACCATCATAACTTTGATCCTCTGTGGAGGGGATGGCACCCCCGCTTCGGTAGCCCGACGACCTGCGCGCGAAGTCGAGCACTTTACGGTAGCACAGTTTAACGAGGACCAATACCGCACACCCTCGGTCTCTACGCAGACTGATCCAAGTGGTCACCCACCGGCACACTGACCGTAGCCAGTGATGCTTGACTTCGGTGATCTGCTGGGAACCGTGTCTTAATGAGCAGTCCACTGCGGGACTCTCAGTTTTTAGAATTTTTAAAATATAGTCTTATTGTACTTTAAATTAATGAAAATCAGTTTGGATGCAGCTGAAAATTTCTTTTAACGTTGGTTGCATGAAAATAACGATACTTATTAAAAATCTAGTTTATGGACACATTTCATTGAAGCGTGAGGAAGTACTTACGCAATATTTGATCACTATTAATACCATTATTAATATCACATTATTAATATCAGGCATTGAAATATTAGGAAAAAAAATCATTTAATGAAGTAGTATTCATACCTCCTGATTTTTATTTTCAAGGATTATAATATCTTCTTCAAGTTTCTTTAAACTTGCATCTGGAGTGAATTTTTCTAATTGTTGTTTTTCTCTCTCACATTTTTCCTTTTCCAACCTGAAAATAAATTGAGAACTTTGATTATTTTAATTAAAACGCTGAAGAAAAATTGTTGAATGGCCTATTTATCTATGTTTGTTAAAAATTGGAAATCTTTAATTCTAAAAAGAAAATTCTAGGAAATATTGGAATAAATATTTATGATATAAAATAGTTAGAGGAGGTTCATGGAATAAAGATAGTTAAATTTCATGAGATTTGTGCAATAAATAACCAGTATGAATGTTTTATTCATAATAAATGAGCTCTTCATATCTTATTTGTTACAAAAACAAAAAAAATTTGGAATACAGATATTATGCAAACTTTTTTTATTGAATAACTATTTTTATTATATAAGAGGAAGTGAAAGACACTCACTGAAAAAATTTCCAATATCTTAATTAAAAAAAAAAGGTTTTAATGTCTGATTGAAAAAAAAACTGGTTTTAATGTTTATACCAGGGGACGTTTCCCAGACCGTCGCCAATAGCCTATTGTGCAGCTCTAGTGCGACGTAAATGAACAACAACAACAGTTTATACCAGACGCTACAATATTGATTCGTCATATTTCAACAATGTTTTTATTTCTCCACTACTATTAACTTATGCACCTCGAATGAGCATATTTTTTTTCTTCAATTTTCACAAAATTTTTTAAAATGAACAGTGAGCAAGAAAAAATGAACACAATTGAACTAATGATCAGATAGTCATATCCAAAATCACAATCTTAATAGTTGAAGCATCTCATCTTAACCCTTTGATGCAGAAAAATATTTTTTATACTTATTTCCTTAATTTGTATTAATTAGGCCAAAATAAGTGAAAAATATTATTTCTAGCATTTTAATAATCTATGGTTATGGTATACAGCATGAAACATCGGTCTCTTTTTCTGCTTTATAGGTAAAATCTTTCGAACACAGCTCATTTTCAGACAATAATTTTTCAAATTTGAAGTTATTTAGAATTACGAGAAATTATTCATCAAATGCTAAACTTTGTTGTCGTTTTTATAAAAACAATTGAATTGATTTTCAAAAATTTTTTTGTTTAAATTCTCTACTCTTCGTGTATGCTATAAGAAGGTAATTTTGAAAATTTTTGAGAATTTCACTTCTAAAATCAATTTTATAGCTTCAAATGTCCTTCTCACAAATTAATTTGCAAATTTAAGATTAAACCACCAGCCATTAAGATTCAGTCTTATACGTGAAAACCTGATTATAAGTTTAAAAGACATTAAAGTGTCCGTTTTTAATTTCACTTTCATCGTTTGCTGCCATTTTGAAATGCTGAACTTGGTTAACGTTTATCTAAAAGCTAGTGAATTGATTAGTAAAATATTACAAAAAAAAAAATCGATATCTATTTTGTATTTAAAAATTATATATTTGAAAACGGAATTTAACTTTTGAGGCCTACATATAAATTATGTTAATGTTGTTGTCTAAACATAGCTCACCGGCAACTGACCTTTTGCTAATAAGTCATAAAGGTACGCCTTTCGTTTGACATGAGAGCACCGCAGGAGTGAAATAATATTGTAAATACTACTACTACTGTAAATTTAAACTGATGAAGGAAAAAATGTTTATCTATGCATATTAGATAGAGGAGCAAACTAATTTTGATATGGAACAAAATTACCAACTTTGAACATAAGATAAAACATCAGTTTCTCTCTTAAACCAATTATTTATATTTCATACAAATCTAAATTTAAAAAAAAAAAAAAAGATACAAAACTCACTTGGGTAGAGTTTCATTCAATTCATTCTCTCTCATGTCTAACTGTTGTTGCAAATCAATGATTTGTTGGTTTTTCTTATTCAGTTGGTCCTCGGCATCATTTAGTTTTGCTACAGTACATGTCATAACTAGATCAATATCAATCGTCATCTGAAAAACAGAAAGCATTCTACAAACAATGAATATTATAGACAAATGTACAGTGCTTAAGGGGACACGGGACCTTGAAATCATA